AGATACTCACACACACACACACACACACACACACACACACACAGATACTCACAACACACACACACACACACACACACACACACACAGATACTCACACACACACACACACACACACACACAGATACTCACAGACACACACACACACACAGATACTCACAGACACAGATACTCACAGACACACACACACACAGATACTCACAGACACACACACACACACACAGATACTCACAGACACACACACACACACAGATACTCACAGACACACACATACACACAGATACTCACAGACACACACACACACACACAGATACTCACAGACACACACACACACACACAGATACTCACACACACACCACCGGCTCAAACTGATTAATGTAGAAAATCAAGCACAAAAAACTCTTTGAAATCTTCTCACATTATTTTATTTCCACATTATTTGGACCAATCAGGTGACAGTCGATCTTTCCAAAGGCACCAATCAAGTCGCACTAATGTCCCGGACCACAGGTTGAAAAACAGTTAAAGAGACGTTATTATGACAGTTGGAAATAGTTTTGAAGTTCTAGAAGGTCAGATCTTGGTAAACAGCGCCCTCCTCTGGCCGTGAGCGTGTGTGCACAAAGGAACAGTATGGAGGGGTGTGAATGAGCAGAAGCAGAAGAAGTGGATGTGTTTAAGTGTTTGGGTTCAGATGTGAGAGGGAGGTCTCGCTTCTGTCACTGTCACACCTCTAACATTCATCGCTCTCCTCACTCCATCCTTCCTTCCAGACTTTGGGCTTCCTCTCGGTCAGGGTGAAATTCAGGGTGAAATATAAAACCTTTGTGTGGTCACAGGAGCTGGAGGACCGACCTGCCCCGAGGCGCCTGCTCCCTGCTCTCTCTGTCCATTGAGCACCACAGCTGCCCGGCCGTGGGGGCCGTGGGGGCCGTGGGGGCCGTCAGAGCCATCGTCCTGGAGTCCAACTACCTCCTGGAGCCCTGTGGGTCCGGCAAGTCCAGACTGACCCACATCTGCAGAGTGGACCTTCGGTAAGAGGACCCACACACACACTCAAACATGCACGCACATACTAGGCCCAAACCAAATGGTTATAAAAGAGGACATTTAATGACACTAAACACTTTACAGATAAAAACAGACATAACAGAAAATAATCACACACATACACCCAAGGAGAGAGATGTTGGAGAGAGAGAAGGCTCTCGGCCTCAGCATGTGGATGGAGAGCATACACAGACCTAACAAGTCCAACTCAGCTCCAGATCTACCGGCAATGATGTCACTCTCAGGTCACAGAGGGGGCCCCGCCCCAAGCCCCGGTGATCCAAGATGGCGTCCTATTCAAATCAATGGTTTGTGCTCAGTAGCGCATGTGCCGCCACGGGGACCAAAAAACTTCAGGTCTTGTTCCCTGTGAGGGAAGGATAACAGACTCTCAGTGGTCTGTGATAAAGAGGGAGCAGCGTCTGCACTCAGAGCTCTGTACCACACTGCCCTACGGTCATGAGCTTTGAGTAATGACCAGAGATGAAGAGGCATTCAGTCCCAGGGAGGAGCTCTGTGTTGATATAGTCTTTGATACGTGTGTAGAACATTCATAGTTTATGCAGTTTGTGGTTTCTAATCTCACTGCGTGTGTGTGTGTGTGTGTGTGTGTGTGTGTGTGTGTGTGTTTGTCTGTGTGTGTGTGTGCATGTGTGTGTGTGCATGTGTGTGTTGCAGAGGCAGGACTCCAGAGTGGTACAACAAAGCCTTCGGACACTTGTGCGCAGCAGAGGCAGCTCGCATTCGCAACTCCTTCAGCCCCATCATCACAGACGGACCAGAGACCAAGATCTGAGACCAGAGACCAAGACCAAGATCTGAGACCAGAGACCAAGATCTGACACAAGAGACCAGAGACCAAGACCAAGATCTGACCCCAGAGACCCAGATCTGACCCCAGAGACCCAGATCTGACCCCAGAGACCCAGATCTGACCCCAGAGACCCAGATCTGACACCAGAGACCCAGATCTGACACCAGAGACCCAGATTTGAGACCAGAGACCCAGATCTGACACCAGAGACCCAGATCTGACACCAGAGACCCAGATCTGACACCAGAGACCAGAGACCAAGACCAAGATCTGAGACCACAGACCCACAAAAAATATTAGATATTTAAACTCAGGTCCAGGTCCAGTCCTCTGAAGAATACTTTTATCCACCAGGAAATGAGGATCCACCCTCTGTCTCCTCTTTCTCCTGTCTGACTTTCTCTCTCTCTCCTCTCTCTGTCCTCTCACCATATTTCTGTTTAATGAAGGATGAATTTACAAATAAAAAGTGACAATTGTGAAATGAAAGCAAAATGAAACATGACTGACTTATATTTGTACGAAGCGGCTCCATGAGTTAAACTTAGATCTGACAACGACTTTATTTCAACACTTTTTGATTTCAGGCCAGTTCTGTGTCGTACATAACTGATGTTTGGCCTCTGTGCAGTCCCAGCTCTGAGCTCCTCCAGAGTGACTGTGTCTGTGAACTAACAATGCTTTAAACTCTGGCCCCTTCGGTCGATGGCCCTTCCTGGGTTGCCTCGCTCCTGCACAGGCTGCACCGAAAACTCCAATAAACTCTCTGTAGTGGTCGACAAAAGTAGCAAGTAATTATTTAATGAAAAACATATTTTAACATATACTTTTCAAGCAAATAAAAGACAAAACAGGAACACAGGGCACGGTGGAGCTCATGTTTATCAGTGACTGCTGCCGTTTTTGATGATTTCACTGATTCTCACGACCCACAGAATATTATTTCCTAAGACTATGTGAAATATGAAACCAGATTCTGAAAGACTGGATTGTCGACTTTCATCCGCAAAAAAAAGTTTGTTTCTAGCTGTTTTTGTTGTGCTGTAATCGTCCGTGGAACAGAGGGTCTCAGACAAATACGTCACTGGACCGAGTTTAGACACGACGCCTCTTCTCTCTCTGACAAAGCCTCGAACTCGCTGCTGACCATTCTTCTGTAATCTACGTTTTGTGTGTGTTCTTTCCTTGTGATTAATGGACATTGTGTTGTTGTGTCTACGACGTTGTGTTACAAGCTTCTGGGAAGTGCGTTATTCCTTTGTGATCTGTAAATGATGCAGCCAATGGTTGTTCATGTGTAATAACTGTAAATACTGTACATATCTAAAGTATAATTATTATATTCTCACAGTGGACGCTGTGACTGTGACTCATGGTGTGTGTCGCTCACACCGGCTTTAGACTTCAATAAAACATACAAACAACATGGTCTGGTGTGGACTCTGTGAGGGGTGTCCAAACATTTGACTGGAGCTCAGACATGACTGAAAGATGTTTCACCGGATTCTTGCTCTTTTGAGATTTATGTCAATATTTATGCTTTAGCGCCAAATATGGAACAATCTTAAAGAGACGTCAGTGAATACATATGATTATTATTATTATTATCTGTGTCCCTGGGCAAGACACTTTACCCCACATTGCCTGAGGCCCCACTGAAAGACCAAGGCCAAAGTCTTCACTGACAGAGCAGCATCTTCCCGTGGACCCAGCACCTGCAGGAGGATCAGAGAGACTTGTGCTCTGAGACTTGGGTGGCAAGTCAAATAATCCATTTCTGATCCAGAAATGGATTACTAAAGGGGAAGACATTATTATTATTAATATTATTATGTGTTTATTAGATAGGGACAGAACTAAAAGCATTGCTACAGGAAGCGATGCCATGTTCATAGGCCATATAGCTAATTTGCGACTTCATGAATATGTTGGTGAAGCTGAAGTTGGCTAGATGACACTGATATATCGATGGCTCCTTTATGCAATAGGACCGCATGACACAGTGGTCAGCACTAGATCATATATGGAATCAGGACGGAAGCGGAGGTAAATATAACAAACTACCTACTTTTGCCTAAACTTAACCAGCCATTCCCATAAAATAACCCCAACCCAGCCTTAACCCTAACCTTAACCATCTTACTCAGACCACCTTAACCCTAACCTTAACCATCTTACTCAGACCACCTTAACCCTAACCTTAACCATCTTACTCAGACCACCTTAACCCTAACCTTAACCATCTTACTCAGACCACCTTAACCCTAACCTTAACCATCTTACTCAGACCACCTTAACCCTGACCTTAACCATCTTACTCAGACCACCTTAACCCTAACCTTAACCATCTTACTCAGACCACCTTAACCCTAACCTTAACCATCTTACTCAGACCACCTTAACCCTAACCTTAACCATCTTACTCAGACCACCTTAACCCTGACATTAACTATCTTACTCAGACCACCTTAACCCTAACCATCTTACTCAGACCACCTTAACCCTGACATTAACTATCTTACTCAGACCACCTTAACCCTAACCATCTTACTCAGACCACCTTAACCCTAACCTTAACTATCTTACTCAGACCACCTTAACCCTAACCTTAACCATCTTACTCAGACCACCTTAACCCTAACATTAACCATCTTACTCAGACACCTAAAACTTAACCAGTCACCACTTAAGGATTTATTAGTCTAAAACTAATTTGAAAGTAGGATTGTTACTTCCGCTTTTGTCCCGATTCCGTTTATGATCTGGTGCCGACCGTGACACAGTGAGCTGCACTTGACCCACGGCTTTGAGTTTGTTGCTCTAAAAGAACTCTGGGGAAGCTGCATTAGATTAAAGGGCCTCATAAACAAAGATTATGTATCTAAGAAGATGACGATGAAGATTAAGGGAGCATGTTGTGGTTCACTTTTACCTCTTTGTCTGTTGCATGTGTGTGATTTAGGAAATAAAACATTAGGGACCACAGCTTTAATAATCGTGAAGATAGAAGTTTATAAATCAGCAGTAAAAAGGAAAAGGCTGTTTGTTTTTAAACCTATTTTTTCACTTGTTTTACCTTAAATGTGGTGTTGATAAACTGGGGGGGGAAAATAAATAATAATAATGATCCATTGTGTCACCATGGCAACCAGTGGAGTCCGTTCTGGAATGTGGTGATGTCATCGACGCAACTTCTAAAAAAAAGATGTCCATTGTGTCACCATGGCAACCGACGAGCTCCTTCTGGAATGTGGTGATGTCATCGATCTGTCTGTATCTATTGGTCCAGATCCAGAAGGACTCACTCAGAACCCGGACACACAAAGGGGAGTATGTGGAGGAAACCCATGTCTGTGGGAACCTTTCAGCCGAGGAGAACCGGGCCCTCGGGTCTACAGAGGGACATGGCTGACTTTAAGGAGATCATGGCATTGTCCGAGATGTCTGAAAAACAATTCAGGCGTTTAAAAGTGGAATGTTTTAAGATCGCCTCGGAAAACGACAAACTTCTGAAAGAAAACCACAGCCAAAAAGCAGATATGAAAAAGATGTCAGTCCTACTGTCTGAGGCTGAAGACATGACCGAGACCATCAAACATCTGAAGGAAACCTATGCGGACCATGAACAGGCCCAAAACACTCTCTCTGAAAGAAACCATCTGTTGACAAAGGTGGTGGAGGAACTGAAGAATGATAATAACTTTCTTCAGGACAAGATGGAGCAGATTATAAAAGAAGCTTGTGATTATAAGACTAACTTAGAGACAACAGAGTCGGCGCTAGCATCTCAAGAAGCTAGATTCCAATCTTTACTCTTGGAAAAGGGTGAACAATGTGTGAGGCTGGTCTCTGAAAATGATCAACTTTTGAAAGATAATATCGGCCAACGAGATTATCTCAAAAGACTTAGAGGTTTACTGTCAGCTGCAAAGTCTGAGGCCAAAGACAAGGAGGACATTATTTCAGACCTGGAAAAGGAATTAGATTGTTGTAAGGAAGAAAAGGAGGAGATCAGAAGAGAGGCCAGTGCTTGTAGAGACAGTTTTGAGAAGGTAAAGGTCCAACTGTTAGCTGCAGAAGAGGCTGTTGATTGTTTAGAAGCAAAGATAAATGGGCTTGAGGAAGAAAATAAGGTTCTGAGAGACCAGAGCTACTTTCTCACTGAAGAAGTGTCTGAACTGAAATCTGCAAAAGCAACTCTTGAGCATAGAATAGAGACGGAACAACACACTCTCCAACAACAACACAGTCAAATTAAGAAGCAACAGATGCAGATTTTTGAAGGAGAGGATTTAGTCCAAGATCTACAATGCCAACTGCAGGTCCACGAAAGTACAATTGTGGATCTTCAGAATCCGAAACAAGCCATCAATAAGGAACTTAATCAGATAAAATCAGAGTTTACAGATTTTAAAGATCAACTGGATGAAGCCGATTTAAATCTCAGTCAGAATCAGGATTATTGGCAAAGAAAACATGATTCTCTTCAAGACACTTACAATAAGATAACATTAGAAGTTACTCAGCTCAAGCGTCAAATGGAAGAGGCACAAATACTTCTTTATGAAAGAGAAGAAGTGATAGAGGAGAACAAAGTGAGGATGAGTGAATTGGAGAAAGAGGTAAAGGATCTTTACACACATCTGAACGAACGCAGGGATAGACTTAAGGAGCTACAACAACAAATAGCAAAGAAGAGAGAGGAAGAGTTGCTTCCAAACCTTGCAGAAGAGTTTTCAGCTGCAGAAGAAGTAGATCTAAGTTCAAACATGACTTTGGAAATAACACAACTGCTGGCAACTGTTGAAAATGTCCAAAACAATCTGAAATCATTAACGGGCCAAAACAGCCTTCTCTCAGATGAGGTGTTGGAACTGAAGCAGGGACTATGTCAGCTCCGAGCCAAGAACTGTTCAGACACGGAGACCATTGACACACTTAAATCCCAAATAGAAAGTCTTCAGTGTAAATATGAAGCAGCAAAGACTGAAATCACAGTCAAAGATCAGAAACTCAAAGAACACTTTGAGCAGATGGCCTCAATGGAGACTCTTACTGGAAAACTTTCTTTGGGGCTAAACAAGACTCTTGAAGTCACAGGTTACACTTTCAAAGTAGTTTATGTCCTTGAGGATGGAACGTCTGCAAGAAGTGAGTTTGTGGATCCAGAGGAATGGGGAGACCCAGAAGAGCAAGAGTTTTGGGAAAGCTGGTCAAAACTGCCTGATGCTGACTCAGGAAATGAAGGAGTCATCGCCGAGCAAGCTTTGGACGATGAAACTCTCTCAGTCGAGGGTGTCTCCGCTCCAGGAAGTACATTTGTTCGTGTTGTCAAGTCTGTCGCTAAAACTTGCTTGTATCCTGGAACATGTGCGCTAGCTGCGTACTTGGGTTTCACATACAGCCTTTATGGCAGTGGATATACACTGGCCCCTTACCTGTAAATCCATCCATGTGAAGAAAATAGTCCAAGGCTTCAGGCCCAAACACCAACGTTCTACCGACTGAGCTACTGCTGCTAATAAATAAATAAAGTGAATTATTGCCAGTTTGGTTTGGAGTCATTGGTAAAATGTGCTTCTTCTCTACTTTCCCAACTTCAAAGGTGTCGCTGCATTAACGTAAATAAAAAAATATCTGATATTTGTTTTTCCTTTTTTTGAATTGAATGTGTTCATCACCAACACTTCTTTGCAGTGTGTTCAGTGGAATCACGGTTCCACAGGATTCGCTCTCTGTTCTCAGAGGTTTTAGTTTACAATTTACACGTCCAGACTTTGTAGCGACTGCATTCGTACAAACTCACTCAATAGTGTCATAATTTTTTATTTTTAATTCTTCATTACAGCCACAGAGAACTTTCATGAAGCAGCTCAGAGGTGAGACCAAAGCAGAGTCAGGAGGAGGCAAACTCTGATTCTACTGTGATTTTACACATCCTCAATTCTCATGAGAGCATTCAGCTGTAGTCTGTTCACTGCTATTCACCCGTTGTCCCATTGTCGCTTTCATGACGCGATGAGACTGAATCTTTACTGGTTGCCCCTGGACATTCTCTGCTGATAGAAAATAAATCCATTGGTTTTATACAGCTCGAGGGTTCATGGGAGTTCGCCCAACCTGTCCACATGTGCTTTGTGGATTTGGAGAAGGCGTTCGACCATGTTCCCCGGGGTGTCCTTTGGGGGGTCCTCCGGGAGTACGGGGTCCGGGGTCCTCTGCTGAGGGCCGTTCGGTCCCTGTATGACCGGAGTCAGAGCTGTGTTCGCATTGCCGGCAGTAAGTCGGACCTGTTCCCGGTGCATGTTGGCCTCCGCCAGGGCTGCCCTTTGTCACCGGTTCTAGGCGCAGCCAGGGGCCGGAGGGGGTCCGGTTCGGAGACCACAGGATTTCATCTCTGCTGTTTGCAGACGATGTTGTCCTGTTGGCTCCAACGAACCAGGACCTGCAGCATGCACTGGGACGGTTTGCAGCCGAGTGTGAAGCGGCTGGGATGAGAATCAGCACCTCCAAATCTGAGGCCATGGTGCTGGACCGGAAAAAGGTGCCTTGCCCTCTGCAGGTGGGTGGAGAGGTCCTTCCTCAAGTGGAGGAGTTCAAGTATCTCGGGGTCTTGTTCACGAGTGAGGGAAGAATGGAGCGTGAAATTGACAGGCGGATCGGTGCAGCGTGCGCAGTGATTGGGTCGCTGTATCGGACCGTTGTGGTAAAGAGGGAGCAGCGTCTGCAGTCAGAGCTGTATCGGACCGTTGTGGTAAAGAGGGAGCTGAGCCGAAAGACAAAGCTCTCGATTTACCGGTCAATCTTCGTTCCCTCCCTCACCTATGGTCATGAGCTTTGGGTAATGACCGAAAGAACGAGATCGCGGATACAAGCGGTCGAAATGAGCTTCCTCCGCAGAGTGGCTGGGCGCTCCCTTAGAGATAGGGTGAGGAGCTCAGTCACACGGGAGGAGCTCGGAGTAGAGCCGCTGCTACGCCACGTCGAGAGGAACCAGTTGAGGTGGCTCGGGCATCTGTTCAGGATGCCTCCTGGACGCCTCCCTGGGGAGGTGTTCCGGGCACGTCCCACCGGGAGGAGGCCCCGGGAGAGACTCAGGACACGCTGGAGGGACTATGTCTCTCAGCTGGCCTGGGAACGCCTTGGGGTCCCCCCGGACGAGCTGGAGGAGGTGTGTGTGGATAGGGAAGTCTGGGCGTCTCTGCTTAGACTGCTGCCCCCACGACCCGGCAACGGATGAAGCGGAAGAAAATGGATGGTTTTATACAGCGCTTTTTAGACGCTCAAAGTCGCTTCACATTCATTAACTCCAAACACAGCGGTGATAAACTACCACTGTAGCCACGGCTGCCCTGCGGCACAAAGCGAGGCCACCAGTCTGTGCCATCGGCCCCTCCCACCACCACCAACCATTCACACACACACCAGACTCATTCTAATGTGGGGGAAGTGTCTTAAGGCACTTTAAAGCTGCCTCACTGTGGCACCTAGTGATCCCAGAGGTCCCCCATCACAGTGCTAACCAGGCCCTATCCTGCTTATCTTCAGAGGGATCACAGGATCTGGCTTTCAGCTGCAGGTGGCGCCACAGGACTCTGAGGACATTTATGAAGATTGGTCAATATGCTTCCCAGACCTATGACTCTCTTGATTTTTTTAATAAACTCTCAAACACACCCAGACGACAGAGAAACAAATACAATTATTAGAAAAAATACAAATTAAAAAATATGTGAACTCAGTACTGTCCATGTGTTGGTCCACAGCTCTGTGGTTCTGAATCTGACCTTTGAATTCTCTGGAAACAGCAGCGACTCCAAACCATTTCTGAAACTGATTTTTACAGCCGTTATTTGTCTTGCTTTTTTCTGCCCAAATGACAATTGACTCACGTTTAGAAAAGTGTAGAAGTGGTGGTGTTTACAGAGAGCTCAGAGTGAGGCACAAACATGTGGTTATTTATGATTTTAATCCGTATGAACTGTGCTATACTAAAAAAACTTTCCTTACATTAGGCCTTACTCTGGCTTTTGATCCAAACTCTTCTTCACATTAAAGATTCACATTTCAGAATCCACAAATATTTCTGAAGGTGAAATTCCAGCAGTTTTTGCATTGGTTTATACTTTGATGGGGCGACAGTAGGTAGGTAGAGCATTGGCCAGGAGGTCGTGGGTTCGAGCCCACCTCAAGACTTTCACCAACAACTCCCACTGTCTGCTGTCGTTGTGTCCTTGGGCAAGACACTTAACCTCTGGGAACACATGATGCCACAGTGGGGCGGCTGCGGCTGTAAAGTACCAAACTACCGTTGTGTCCTTAGGCAAGACACTTCACCCCCATTGCCTAGAATGAGTCTGGTGTGTGTGTGTGGAGGTGGGAGGGGCTTCTGTCAGTGTACTACAGTAGTTATCACCAGTGTGTGAAGTGTCTGAGAGTCCAAAAAAGCGCAGTATAAAACCGATGCATTATTATTGATCCTGGAGTGAGCTCATCTGAATAAATACAAAAAGAAAAGCAGGTCTATTTTTTTTATTAAAACAGTTAAAATAAGATCTCACATTGTTTGTCACTGACACATGACACTTCTTGGACAGAATCACAGCGTTTCTTTCTGAACCCACAGTGTAGAAAACTTTGTGGACAATCGCGACTCTTTTGCAGACTCACAAAGACACCAACACTTTGTCGACAAACCACAGCCTAAGTTTTCGGGTAATCTCTTTAAACAGCAGCTGCTCATGTGCACAATATTCAGACATTTCTTCCCGTTCCAAGCAACATTCAAAAGCCATATGTAGTTTGGAATGGTTCATGTGTTTAGTCTTCTCTGAGGTACGCGTCGGGCACCTCCTCCTGCTCCTCCTGCTGCGCCTCCTGCTGCTCCTCCTGCTGCTCCTCCTGCTGCGGCTGTACACGCTGCACCTCCAGGACTTTGGTCTGAGTCAAGAGTCTGTCTGCGGCTGTGGAGCGAGAGCGCGCCTTCTGCACCTGTGTCTGGGACAGCTCCAGGTTTGTCCTGATGGTGACGGCGGCGTGGTCTGCTCCTGCAACACACACACAGGCGCAAATATTCAAACTTGTTTATATTTTCCACAAAAGAATAAAAACAAAATGGATATAGCTTGTCTTCTCGTTTTCGATTAAATGAAAAGGTAGAGTGGAGAGAACAACACTCACCAACTCACACCTCAGACACAACAACACACTCTATACAGTCTGTGTGACCCATGTTTTGGTTCTGTTTAGAGAAAGTCCTTTATCTAACTGTGGATTTACTGCCTGCGGCGCTGAAGTCAACGACAGCAGTGTCCTGAAGTTGTGTTGCTGCCAAACCTTTTGTCAAACCTTTTGTCACACACTTTTGTCAAAGTGTGTGATGTTTGTGTTTGCACCGACCTGAGGAGAAGGCTGCTTCTGCGGACGCCTCACACACACGCACTGCACTGGCCCAGGTCTGCTCCAGGCGCTCACAGTACTGCGCCAATGCCGACACCTACACACACACACACACACACACACAGAGAAACACACACAACACATGACTAATTCATCCACGCTGAGTGAAGGAGAGGTTTTGCAGGTCTTTCTTCCTGCTGCTGTCAGACTGTATAACGAGAACTGTTGAGTCTGTACAAGTGTCACTGATAATAATCCACTCATCACTTCACCTGCTGATATTGTTACTATTGTTTATTCTGCTCTGCTGCTAAAGTACAATATACACATCTGGATGGATGTCTTCAGTTGGATGAAGAAAAATGATCTATAATAACATTTGGACAGGGTGTTACTCATCACCCGTGGTACTGCAGACTAAATTCACGTCTAAAGTCCCATAGAACTCAGTGTAAACAAAAACAGCTCAAGCTCAGCTGACAGAGAACCTGACAGAGAACCTCCAGCTTTCATTAAGATCTGATTTTGTGGGGATTTTAGTGTCCCTTGTTGCCCTGAACTTATGTTATTGTTAAATCTTTCAGTTTTCTTTAAATCCACTAGTGCCACAAACTCTGCTTGATCGTCTCCTGCTCTAGCTCTGCTCTGATCACACACGCAAAAAGCATCATGGGAGGTCCACTGCGCAGAATCGGGAGGACCAGACGATGCCCAAATATGGAGGAGTTCCGCTAATCTCCAGGTCCCCGTGTGTGTGTCCCGTACGCTACTGAGCACAAGCCATTCATTTGAAAAGGACGCCATCTTGGGTCACCGGGGGTTGTATAAAGGCTGGGGGTCCTGCTGGGGTGGTCCTCTGGCTGCAGGTCTTACCCAGTGGGGGCCAAAATGACGTGCGCTGACATGCTGCAACACCACCCCGGGCCGGTGGGGGTGGACCCGGAATAAGAATTAGCCAATGCTAACATATAGCATTGGCAGACCTCTCATAAACGTCTTTACAGGATGGACCAAAAGTGGCTCTTGGCCCAAAGCTCCGTTCCACATGTGTGTCAATGCTGAGGGGGGTGTTCTGGACCAGTCTAGTTTAGTCGCTGTGGACTTTAGAAGGCATGGGGCTCGTACAGCTGACGCATGCGCAGATGCGTTTTTTCACATTTTCCAGCCCCCGCGGCCATTTTGAATCACTCCATCAAAGCCCAATTTTTGGCCCATTAGTTTGAACGGCGGAGATAGAGTGACTACGTCCGTTAATATTTACAGTCTATGGTCTTACCTGAGCTCTCTGTGCGATGATCAGCTGCCACACTGCGTCCTCATCGGCTTGACTCAGTTTCCCCAAAGAGTTCAAGTATCTCCTCTGAAGATCAACCAGCGAGTGCACTACCTGCAACACACCAGCAATTAGAGACCAGAAACACACACACACCAGCAATTAGAGACCAGCAACACACACACCAGCAATAACAGACCAGCAACACATGGCAAACTGGGCCAATGAGTCTTTGTGTTGTCGACTTTTGGGCTGCATAATGTTTACTATTTCACTTTTGATTATTGCGTTTAGGGCATTTGACCCAGCAGTGGTTGCCGTAGTAACAGCGCCCGGGACCCATCTCCAGGTCTGGATGCTCGGAGTGTGTGATCTTGGACCCGTACCGTGGAGTACTGCGCGGCGGCTTCGATCAGAGCTATCGTGGTCTGAGACAGGAAGGTGCTGGAGCTGTCCGTCACCAGGGAGGCGGCTCTTCTGATCAGGGATTCATGCGATAGGTCCTCCACCTGTCAATCAAAGCACAAGCAGAGTGAGCCACCAGACAACGACATCAGCTGTGTCAGATTTTTTTTTTTGCGATGAATGAATGAAATTATTAGTAACTCAAGTCAGCCCCGTCTCAAAAGGTCATTATCGGTCTCCAAAACAGGAGCTAAACCAGGACTAAACCAGGACTGAACAAGTACCTGTTTGAACGGTACGGCACAGAATGCAGCTCCTGCGGCGATTGAGGCCACAGTCCTGACCGTGGCACTTCTGCTTCCTACTCTACAGACGGCAGGTTTCACATCACTCAGGACCACACGGAAACTACTCCTGGAAACACAAACATCCAGTTAAAACACAGACTAACTTTGGTTCTAGCACTAGGTCTTTCTCGGCCTTAGTGAGAGACCAGAGAGAGAGACACCAGAGAGACACCAGAGAGAGAGCCAGAGAGACACCAGAGAGAGACCAGAGAGAGACCAGAGAGAGACCAGAGAGAGAGCCAGAGAGACACCAGAGAGAGAGCCAGAGAGACACCAGAGAGAGAGCCAGAGAGACAACAGAGAGACACCAGAGAGACACCAGAGAGACACCAGAGAGACACCAGAGAGACACCAGAGAGACACCAGAGAGACACCAGAGAGACACCAGAGAGAGACCAGAGAGAGACCAGAGAGAGACCAGAGAGACACCAGAGAGAGACCAGAGAGACACCAGAGAGACACCAGAGAGACACCAGAGAGACACCAGAGAGACACCAGAGAGACAACAGAGAGACACCAGAGAGACACCAGAGAGACACCAGAGAGAGACCAGAGAGAGACCAGAGAGAGACCAGAGAGAGACCAGAGAGACACCAGAGAGACACCAGAGAGAGACCAGAGAGACACCAGAGAGACACCAGAGAGACACCAGAGAGACACCAGAGAGACACCAGAGAGAGACCAGAGAGAGACCAGAGAGACACCAGAGAGACACCAGAGAGACACCAGAGAGACACCAGAGAGAGAGCCAGGATGCGTCACTTGACTTCCGCTAAGGTTTGGGACGTCCAATGAGCACAAGACATTGATTGATTAGTTAGATATTTTGGAACCAGGGCAGACATCTTGAAGACCTGGGGCTTGTAACCAACGGCCACAGCAGAAAACCAGCACTTGAAACACGATTGTCATAACACTATATTATCTGTGTCATTATGTCTGATACCTCGTGATGGAGGTGCCATGGCTTAATCCAGTTACTACTGAGCCTGAAGAGCCACAGTGACAGATACACAACTGACACTAAACTCTCAATGGAAAAGGACATTCCCACTGATTCCAGACAGGTGTCTGCTGTCGATGTGTCCTTGGGCAAGACACTAAACCCCACTTTGCCCAAAGCCCCCACTGAAAGATCAAGGCTATGCTCACACTCAGAGAGCAGCCGTCCTCCTGTGGACTCACCACCTGCAGAGGGTCAGTGAGGGGCTGGTGCTATGAGACCCCTGACCCAGAAATGGATTAAAGGGTAAAAAAAAAATTCATAGTGATTTAAAAAATGTGTTTTAAATAGTGCTTTTTTGGACACATTTGGTCATTACACGATGATAACCACAACTGCCCTGGGGCACACTGACAGAAACGAGGTAACCAGTATGTGCTAGGGCTGGGCGATAAAACGATAACGATATATATCGCAATAGACATGTGATCGATATCAATAGAGAATGGGGTCGATAGAATGTTCGATAGTTTAACTTAACTCCGTCAGGAAAAACAGGAAGAAAACACCGGAAGTAAAGCCGACTCATAAGCGCATGGCATTGTGGGGGATGTAGGCAGAGGCTTCTCGACCAATAACAGCCGAGCAGGAACCGCAAAACTTTGTGGGAAATGCAAAAACAACAACAACCGCAGCATGCGTAGCGTCCATGGATCTATAGCTCGTGTTTCAATGACGTGTCAATGGTTGTGCGGAATAACATGTGCGGCGGCAGAGGCAGTGGACAGACCCGATGTATTCGGCGAAAGCAAGAGATTAACTTTTTCCTCGGGAAGCATGTGCGGCACAGAGAGCCGCACGGAGCGGTCACGGGGACACAAGACCCTCAAACAGCTAAACCAGGAGCTAAACCAGGAATAAAAAACCAGGATTAAACCAGGACTAACAACGAGGGACACAGTGTGAACATATTCCTCCAGCCTCATCGCCCCGTGACTGTAAACAAGGCTGCTAAGGTTGGTTAGCCCACACCACAAATATATTTATTTAGGTAAAAAAAAACTCAATATATATCGTTATCGACCGATATGAATGACTTATATCGTGATATAGTTTTCAGCCATATCGCCCAGCCCTAGTATGTGCCATCAGTCCCTCCCAACCATTTACACACACCAGACTTATTCTAATGTGGGTTAAGTGTGGGTTAAGTGTGGGTTAAGTGTGGGTTAAGTGTGGGTTAAGTGTGGGTTAAGTGTGGGTGAAACGTGGGTTAAGTGTGGTCTCCCTGATTAGCTTCACAGGTCTGACAGGATCCAACTGTCACCTGCAGGTTATACAACTATATCGTCACTTAGAATACATCCATAAACAATATCAAAAGGAGCAATATAGCACTTTTTGAATTTAATGTTTGTCGTTTTCATGGGAACGTTATTCGTTTTTATCGTATGTATTAATTCCCACGGGACCAATGAAGTGTACCGTATTTCTGTTCATCCTTCAGAGCCAGTCAGAGACAATGAAATATGTTCTTGTTACACAGGTTTTTAAACAGGGAGACAAGAGCATGTTCTCAATGCCGTGAAGCTCTTCATGGAAAACAGAATTTCAGACATATTTTCTCAGGCCCAGTCCCAACACTCGCACTTCCAACCTGGCGCCCCTCATTTGTGCGTTCCCGATGATGGGTGCGAGTGTCCCATTCCTTCAGGGAGGTCTTTGGCCCCGCCCCCTTTGTGCCGCGGATCCACACTTCGCCGTAGCCTTTTGCTAGACCAGAGAGAGAGACCAGAGAGAGACCAGAGAGAGAGACCAGAGAGAGAGACCAGAGAGAGACCAGAGAGAGAGACCAGAGAGAGAGACCAGAGAGAGAGACCAGAGAGAGAGACCAGAGAGAGACCAGAGAGAGAGACCAGAGAGAGACGCCAGAGAGAGACGCCAGAGAGAGACGCCAGAGAGAGACGCCAGAGAGAGAGACCAGCGAGAAAGACCAGAGAGAGACCAGAGAGAGAGACCAGAGAGAGACCAGAGAGAGAGACCAGAGAGAGACCAGAGAGAGACCATGCTTGTTCTTGTAGCCTGCGTCTATGCGAAATCTGGCGAAGGATATTTCCCATAATTCTTTGCGGTACACACCAAAACGTCGGGAAATTGCATTTAAGTGTAAGTTTTGAAATATATATATGCAGTATGTGTGTAAATACGTTTTGCTGTTACTTGGAAAGAAGCATAAATGTCTGAAGAATTACAGACATTGCATTTTAACAATTTAATAACTTTTTAATGCAAGCATTCATATAACATTTCATTTTAAACTTTACACTTAGTACAATAAAACTGACCAGATAACAGTTACCCACATTTAAAATTAAACTGCTATCTCTAATTACAAATAACCAATATAAATGTATTTTAACGTGTGTGAAGCAACTCATTTAGTTTCTCACCGGGTCAGACAAAATTACCTTTAATTTTTATAAAGTTTAGGTGACGTCATCGACTCTTGACGAGTCGATGACGTCACCTGCACTCACTGAGCACTGTCCCAATTCCGTCTTTTTGGCACGCTTCTAACCTGCCACTCAAACCCTGGTGTGCACTTCAGACAAATGTGCACTTCGTAGGAGGTGTGTATGGTGCAGTGTGGGTGTTGGGATTGGCCCAAAGAATACATTAATGGTTTCAAAATGATCTTGGCAGTGAATGACTCCAGTACTTCCTGATATGTTGAACTCAGATAAAGGTCTGAAACGGAGCCAAGAGCCGCAGCAGGAAACAAGAGGACTGGTTTCAGGTTTAAGTGAATCAACAACGCACAAAACTGTCTCAAAGACGCGGAATTGACTGAAAATGTACCTGAAAACGGAGAGAAACGTCTTCCACCTCGCGAGCGCAGCCATGTCGGTGCTCACCTGTAAAGTGTCCGAGTCAGAGGGTTCCGGCTTGTCGGATAATGCAGTTTATACCACAGACAGATAAACGCCACTATCCACCGTGATTAAAGCAGAAGAATTAATTAAGGTCTAAAAGGGATAAATGACCCAGGGCTGGTTAAGTTCGGAAAAGTCAGCAAAATTCAGCTCAAAAATAATTATTTCGTGTATTTTTAAAGAATATGTAGGGCCATTTTGACTTGAAGATAACAAACTTGATTCTATTCCTGTCATTATTATTGTCCAACGGATATTTTACAAAACAGAATGAATGAAAGATCGGCTCCATGAGAAAGAGATTCGATTTTTCCATCATTCATAAAGTATTTGTTGAAAAATTAGAAAAATAAATTCAAAATGTTGGTTTTCTGCTTTGTACTAAAGCCCAGATTACTGGAAAGTCTGTCCTGCTGTTTAAAGTTGTGTGGTTAGTTTTCCAGCAGGTGGCGCCACCACAGCGTAAGTGAACACAGAGGATGACCGGGGGACAGACCATGGATCTATTATAATAACTGGATAGGGTATTAGAGCTTGTAGCTGAATAACTCATGTGCTCAGGGGATTCTCGCGGTACTGCAGACTGAACCAGACTGAACCAGACTAAATTCACCTGGGCTACCCAGAAATTTTCCCCATAGAACTCAATGCAAATTAAAACAGCTCAACCTCAGCTGACAGAGAACCTGACAGAGAACCTGACAGAGAACCTACAGCTTTAATAAAGATCGGATTTTGTGGGGATTTTAGTGTCTCTTGTCGTCCTGAACTTTTTTTCTTCTTAAATCCTTCGGTTTTGTTTAAATCCACACTTTAGTGCCACAAACTCTGCTCGTCTGGCTCTCGCTCTAACTCCCGCTCTGATGAACTGCTCTGATTGGTCAGAGCCGAGCCCCTCTGTGCACGTGCGTGAGACCCGGTGTGAGACCCACACACGCGTGTTTGGCGCAACGCATTATGGGAGATCATCCACTGCACAGAACCGGGAGGACCAGACGATGCCCAAATACAGGCGAGTTTCCCAGAGATCTTTGAGAGTTTCCCATAGATCTTTGAGAGTTTCCCATAGATCGTTGAGAGTTTCCCAGAGATCTTTGGGAGTTTCCCATAGATCTTTGAGAGTTTCCCATAGATCGTTGAGAGTTTCCCAGAGATCTTTGGGAGTTTCCCATAGATCGTTGAGAGTTTCCCAGAGATCTTTGGGAGTTTCCCATAGATCTTTGAGAGTTTCAGGCAACTTCCGCTAATCTTTCAGCCCCCATGCCGTCACAAAGCGCCACTGAGCACAACCATTCATTTGAATAGGGCGCCATCTTGGATCGCCGGGGCTTGGGACAGACTTATATTTATTACGGTTAAATAAAAGCAGAAACACAGGTACATATAGACACAGAGAGACACAGGTACATATACACACAGAGAGACACAGGTACATATAGACACAGAGAGACACAGGTACAGACACAGAGACACAGGTACATATAGACACAGAGAGACACAGGTACAGACACAGAGACACAGGTACATATAGACACAGAGAGACACAGGTACAGACACAGAGACACAGGTACATATAGACACAGAGAGACACAGGTACATATACACACAGAGAGACACAGGTACAGACACAGAGAGAGACACAGGTACATATAGACACAGAGAGACACAGGTACAGACACAGAGACACAGGTACATATAGACACAGAGACACAGGTACATATAGACACAGAGAGAGACACAGGTACATATAGACACAGACACACAGGTACATATAGACACAGAGACACAGGTACATACAGACACACAGAGACACAGGTACAGACACAGAGAGACACAGGTACATATAGACACAGAGAGACACAGGTACAGACACAGAGACACAGGTACATATAGACACACAGAGACACAGGTACATATAGACACAGAGAGACACAGGTACAGACACAGAGACACAGGTACATATAGACACACAGAGACACAGGTACAGACACAGAGAGACACAGGTACATACAGACACAGAGAGACACAGGTACATATAGACACAGAGAGACACAGGTACATATAGACACAGAGAGACACACAGGTACATATAGACACAGAGAGACACAGGTACAGACACAGAGAGAGACACAGGTA